TTTGACCAAATTAATTAAAAATTTGAGCAAATAATTTCAAATATTTGGTTCAAATTCAAAATTTGATTTGATTTTGTAGAGTACTAGCTTCAATTTATACAATAGTATATATAATTTCTTTTTTTTTTTATAAAAAAAAAAATTGAAAACCCCAAATTGAACATTTTATAAAAACTATAAAAGTTTAATAAAAAGCAATATTCATCACGCAAAAGGTAATTGTAAGTGATTTGATGATTGTATAAGTTTGTATAACTTAAGTAAAAGTAAAAATTTACCTCAAAGTTATGAATAATTTTTGTTTAAAATTATATAATTCTGTAATATTTAACTTATTGAATTCGCTATCTGGTAAATAATTATAGTTAATATTAAAAAATGAAGAAACAATTTTATTTAAGAAGATAAAATATGTAGTTACCCGAATAATATAATTTGGTATATTCAATAAATTGGTTTTTATAAATGTCATCAGAATATGTTCGTGTATGTTTTAATATATTCGCTGTTATAAATATTGTTAAGATATGCTTGTAGATATATGCTTTCGATATTTCTTCTGACTTAATTAATTTTGATAAATATTTATCATCATTCTGCTAGGACCCCAAAGATCTCTGATATAACTCAGAGGTTATTAAAAAAGGAAATTTTGTAGAAATTCATTAAACATTGCATTTTTATATAGTAAATTTTTAAATTTTGGCTTATTTTATATACCTATTTGGCTGATATTATACAAACTCAGATCTAAGTTATATCAGAGATCTTTGGGGTCCTGTTCTGCTACTTTGTAAGGATCTTAAATTTTTATTGCTAATGGATGATTTTTTAAATCTTTTTTTCAACATTTCTTCATCAGGCTTACATAATATTGCAGTATGTTCCCAATAATTGTTGGTCTAAATTATTATAGTATATTTCTACTTGAAGTTGTATTTAAATTCTTAATTATAAGATACAGACTTTTTTATAAATTTCCCACATAATTATTCAAATAAGTAAATATTTGATGTTGTTGTATATTGACTTTTGCTAAAATTTTTGGTGTGTCTATGTAAAATTCATAATTATAAGATAGTGCAGCTATTTAAGAAAGTTCAAGCTCTACTTTATATGATGACATATGTAGTATTTTTTCTTATAAAAAAAAAAATTTGAAAAACCTGGTATCATTGCGCAAAAGATAACAAATGATATATAAATACTTGCCTGTGCAAAATCTATTTAGATATAGTACAACATTTTGTATGTAGCATTTTTTTTTTTTATAATAAAACTGATTAAAAATAATCGATTATTCTATAAAAACTATAGAAGTTTAATAAGAATTTTAAATTTACTGCACAAAAGGTAACTGTAATTATATGTAAATACTTGCTAGTGCAAAAAATTGATTATTTTTCAACATTTATCTATTTTATAGCAGTTAACAAGCTAATCAAGTCAATTACTAATGTAATCTATAAAATAGACTACAACTACATGATCCAGTAATCTTATGTAATATGAATCAAAATAAAAACTAATCAAGCTATACTGTGGAGAGGTTGTTCTCTTTAGCTCAGAATAGTAAGATTCCAAAGAATTTGTTGAAGTTACCTGCAAGAGCAGAGAAGAATTCATACATGCCCAAAGTGCTTACTAGTGAGAATTTTTTGTATAATTTTTACTAATATATCATTGAATAGAAGGAATCAGACATTCTGTAATCACTTGTTGAATTAAAGCTTCACAACCAATTTTGGTTCTTTTATAAATAGTCTGCATCATCATTTGTCGAGTCTTTTCACAATATATTTTATTCATCCAAGTTCATACAAGATGTACAGTGCAATAAATTACGTCACATTCCTGCTCACTATTTTTGAGGCCTAGAAAAGCTAACCTAGTACTATTTTTCTATATACTACTTTGGTCCTAAAGAATATATCTAGACCGCCACCTACTTGCGAATTGTCAAATAATTTGTAAAGCCTTTGCAACAGTAATACTATCCTCTTTATTAACAAAAAAGTAAGCACTGATATTCCAGCATCCAAGTCCATTATGGGTATATAAGGTAAACAAATGATAATTATATCTATTTGTTTGATGTGTCGAGTCAATTAGAGTTAACCACCCATACTTCTCAAGGCTCTCAATTTGTTCTTGGTCAATAAAAACTAAACTATGTGAAGAATTATTAGAAATTCTATAATGCTCGACCTAATACTTTTTTTGCATTAAAAAAGAAATTGATTTCTGGACATCTAACTCTCAGTTAGGGTTTTCAATTAGGTGTACGTCAAGAGATCTGCATATTTTATATTTAATATTAGTAACTTCTTTATATTTTAATTTCCTTACACTTTTACTCAAACTAAACTTTTCTATTGCATACTCCTTTACTGCATTAAGGATAGCTAGAGGTCGGTAATCTTTAAGAGCTTCCTCTTCAACCAAACTTCATACAGCTTGTGATCGCTTAATTTTTTTACTTTCATTTAAGGAATGGATGTGATTGGGTAAATCTTTGAAGTATTCTACATGCACTTTACTTTCTGTAATGAACCGTAATATCTTAATTTTGGCAGAACACATACTTGGTGATCTAATTTTTGTCTTTCACCATTTGTTACTTGGAATTCCATCTTTTTGGGTACTAGATTTATTATGCTTAGTGAAACGGTACATATAAGTTTGTGATGAATCACCATTAACTCATTTTTTGAGATTGAATCCAGTCCAAACATTTGATACAAGTGGCCACTATTTGTCATCAAATTCTTGCATTTACAACTCAAGCAGCTGATTAATATTAAAAAGAAGATTTCATTTTTGGTCAGAAGTCAATGCATTAATATTAGGTAAATCAACTTCAATATTTCTAGTTGTAGGAAGGAGAAAAAGTGGATTTCTCATGGTGCTTGCTTGTGGATTCATTTGCTTATTCATATTATATAAAATCCAACTTAAAAAATTTATAATGAAAAAAAAAAGAAAGGAAGAGTATATAGATGTGTAAAAGTTTACAGTATCTGTTTAAAAAAGTTTCTTCGTGAAATATGTATCCAAAAAAAAATTTTCTGGATAGCGTGACATAGTGAAAATAAAATTATTAAGAAAGTTCTTTGGTGGAAGATATAATAGAATATTAAAAAAAAAAAAAAAAAACAAAAAAACAAAAAGGAACTTTCGTGGGATTTAAGTAAATTTTAAAAAACTTTCGTGAAATTGTAAGCAGATTTAAAAAAAAACTTTTGTGGAATTGTAAGTAGATTCATAAAAAAAAAAAATCTTTCCTTGTACTTTCGCTTATCTATACAGTATACACTGCTAGTGTGCAATAAAAAAATAAAGCATGAGACAAAATAACCAGCAAATTGATAACTGTTATTAACTCTGACTATAAACTTAAAAAACTTAACCTCTGCTACGTATCTATATACGTACTTAAACCTGGTACTTTATAGTTAAAAAATTTTAAACATTTTACTATAGAATAATTTTGCGTTTAAGTTTGACGCTTTAAAATGTGCACATTGCAAAATTTAGGTTTATTACGAATCAAATATGTGTGGCGTACATATACATATTACAGTGCATATATTTCACATTTATTTCCAACCTCAGCTGGCTTACATATCTGTCAGATGATCACGTGATTGGATACGGCTTTAGACATCCCTCTTTTTTAGATATTTTTGGATAAACAACATATATCACTTATAAACAAATCGTCAAAAAATTGCCTAACTTCATGGCCATGATTCTCTTTGGTTTTATTTTTACCACCCTTAAAATTTCATGGAAAGAACCTTCAAATGCTAGAGAATTTGTAAAATGGTACCTAGAAATTATACCGACCACTTCTTTATTGTCAAATAAGCCTAGAAAGCAAATTTAAGCAAAATTTTACTTATAAAATTTAGGTGCATTGATCATTTGATCTACTATTAAAAATTTTGTGGAAAGCTACAGGCACAACATTTCACGTGACTTATAGACACAACATCAGCCTGAGTTAGGGTTAGAGTTAATATTAGAGTAAGAGTATTTTAGTAATGCTGGTCATTATTGTGCCTATAAGCATATAAGCATGTAAAATGTTGTACCCATAGCAATCTCTGACTGACTGGTATAGTGCGTATCTAACAATTTGATTGGCTGGTAGAAAGGATCAGCAAAAATTTTCGCATACAGTATGTTGTAACCGTCAAATTTTCCCTCTCTAGTGTGTTACCATCAAACGTAGCACAGTATTTAATTTTTTTTATTTTTTTTATTTTTATTATTTGCATTATTTTTATTATTTTTATTTTCATAAAAATTAGAATTATCCGGTAGATGACTATGATCAGACTGCTAAATAAATTTATTATTCGGCAATTGTTATTATTCGGCAGTTTTTATTATTCGGCAGTTTTTATTATTTGGCAAATTAGAATTTTGATAAAACGCAAATATTTATTATATTTAAAAATGTAATTTTTTACATATTTAAAACTATATATTGATACTATCTATTTAAATATGTTAATTGATTGTAACATTATCTGCAGTAATATAATAATTTTTTACGATCATATTTCTATCCATTCTATCTTCTGAAGTTTGATAACTACATTCATATGATTCTTGCTGTTCAGATGATTGGAAATTTTGCTGTTCGGATGATTGAGAGAGACTTTTTAGTGGTGTACGAAAAGGCTTCGTTACAGATTTCCATTTTCTGGTCGATTCATTTAATACTTTATTAGCCAATTTTGATGCCGAATTCAAATTAGTCTAAAATAAAAAAAAATCATATAAATATTATTTTAAAAAATTAACACTTTATTCATAAATCTATACCTTTGATTCTAAAAGTTTAGCTTGATTATCTTGCGTATTATCTTGAGTAGCAGTTAAGTTTTCAATACGGTTCTGGTTTTATAAAATTTTAAATTTTTTAATAAACCTTTTTATATAAAATTAAGGTGCAGTATGATATAATACTTACGTCAACTTGTTTTAAGGGTAGCTCAATATTATTGATCAAGCTTGATAATGCATCTTCCTTATCTTT